TTTGTTGATGTTAAGTGCCGTTGAGTCGGTTCTGACTTATAGAGACCCTGTGTAGAGTTCCTAAGGAATGGTTGGCAGGTAGACAACTTCACCATTTTGTAAATGGATTTACTTTGTCAAGTTACTTAAACACTTGTTGTTGTGAAGTGCCGTCGAGTTGGTTCCGACCCATAGTGACCCTGTATAGGGCTTCTGAGGAACAGCTGGTGAGCTTGAACCACCGACCTTGCAGTTCAAACAGTTTTGCAATCTGGCGCATTAATCCACAGCACCACACCAGGACTCCACTTAAACACTAGGGTCCTCAGTTTTCTCATCTGTAAAAGGGATATACTGTTAGTGCCTCCCTCACAGGGTTGTGGCAAAAGAGCTTAAATCAGTATCTGGCATACTGATAGAAGCCACGTGTTAGCAGTCATTTTCTGTATTATATATGTATGTGACTGGAATCAAGAAATCAAATCAGCTGTGAACCAAATCATTTGTAATCCTCTTCAAACTTTTAAATATTGGATATGGTAAACAAATAGATCCATGGAGTTATGTGATATATAATTTCTAACATAATTATTAGCTCATCCAGAGCACCTGACCTAATCAATCAATCAGCAAATGATAAGCAAGAGAGGCAACTTCTTCTGTGATGTCTATAATTCGAAGAGCCCTAAAGGCCTCTTCTCTCATGCTGTCTAAATACATGTCATGCTGTAGTTTGCAGAAGGCAGTAAATGCCTGGCCTTTGGGTACACATAACACAGGAAAAAAATGTGCAAAGGGACTCTCCTAGTTTTTCAGTATAAAAAGTCATGCAAGTGGTAGCAAGCAGCTTCTGTTCTTGAAGAGAAACTGACAAGAAACGAGCAAGAGAATAGGACAAGATTAGGACAGGAATCAGAAACGGCTCTTTGATAGTGTTGGTTTGTTAAATGTTTAATTAAGCACACCCACACACATCTCTGAATCCCTCTAAGGATCCTCCAGCTAAATTTCTGTTTGTGGAGCAGGAGAGGAAGGGCGGAATGACAGGCCATAGCCGCATGAGATCTTGGAGTTCTACATTTGCTATGGAGCGTAGATTATTTCAGATTTATTTATGCCATTTTCCTAAGGTTACCTCATTCATAAAACAAACAGTTGTGGATACTAGATTTGGAATTTGTTTTGAATCAACCAGAAAACTTCTCTGTTTCAAAAGGCTGTAAACCTTAGAGATATCCTTAGAGAGTGACTCTCTGAAATGCTCGGGGCTGTGCTCAGAGTGGAGACACCTGTAAAAGCTACAAGTCATGTGGCAACTTGCACAAGGCAAACCCCCCACAGCAGATGTTTCGACTACCCTGAAATCCATTGCCACATTCCAGTGTTTCATTCCTTGGGGAGAAAGGTGAACTGAGATAATGAATGCCAAAGTCTTTCCTCAGTAAAACCAAGAAGCCACACTTTTGAAACAAAAGAAATATTACTTTGGTTTGGATACAGTTTAGACAATATTTAGGTGTTTTTTATAGTATTCCAGTCTTACAAATTTAAAAAAAAAAAAAAAAATGCTTAGGTCCACTTCTGGTTCATTTTATTTCGCTAGTTTTTTTGGGTTGTTTTTTTCTTCAACTCTTTTAAAGAATGTGAGATGTCATTTCTCTGCCATTGTGTGTGTGTGTTAGTGTGTGTGTGTGTGTGTGTAATCTGCTTGCCAAGTCAACAATTTCAGCAATTTTTACATGTATTATTCAGTCACGTTTATTATAGTCTAGATATCATGCAACCATCACCATTATCTTTTACCAAATTATTTTACCACCCCTAACAGAAGACCTAAGCAGCTCTGGTAGCGTAGTGGTTACGAATCGGGCTGTGAACCTCAGGGTCAGCAGTTCAAAACTACCAGCTGTTTCGTGGGAGGAGGATGAGGCTTTGTGCTCCTGTAAAGATTTACAGGCTCAGAAACCCTGTACAGGGTCACTATGAGTCGGAACCGACTCCACAGCACATAATAACAACAACAACAGAAGACTTAAAATATTTACTGATGAAGATCAAAGAGCACAGACTTCGGTATGGATTGCATCTCAATGT